CTTCAGTTGAATGTGCCAGTTGTTGGTTTTTCATATCTTTAATATTATAAATATACAAAAGTTAAAAATAAGAGTAGAAGTTGGAATGATATCTTTCTTGGATATTTTTTTTATAGTAAAGATTTACTATTTTTTATATTAATTTTGATGGATATTATCAATAAAAAACCTCAAATTTTTTTAATGCATTTTTAAGATTTTTTATTGGCTCTCATATGAATTTATTAATATCATATCTATGTCAATGAACAAGATATTTTAATCTATTTTGGTACCACCTTGAATTTAAAACTTCTTCTACTTCAAATTCTTGATTATTATCCACTTCTATAGGAAGAGGTGGCATTTGTCTTCTTCTCAAGATATTCATTGTCTTGTTTGACTCAAGAAGAGACACATGGAATATAAAATGGATGTTCATAGGCTTTAGTAGGTATAATCAATAAGCAACAAGATTGACTTATTCACAAATAGAAAAAGGTCCAACTTGTTACAAGGATGAGTAATCTTTGTATTGTGATAAAATAATTATACCTTCTTACTCATGTTAAATTATGGTTGTTCCTTCAAATAGGCATCTGCATTGATTTTTTGGCATTCTTGAGCTTCTTTTAACTATGCCTTCATTGTTGTATGTAGCTCTAATAAATTATTTGCCAAATCTTTTGTCATAAGATTATCAACTTTTAAAAAGTCAAAAGTATAAAGTTATGGATGATAATCATAATTGGCAAAGAAAGGTGTTTGTTAAATAGAATAATGTATCAAATTATTATATATAAACTCGGTCAATATCAAAAGAGTTGTCCAATCATCTTGATGATAGTTGATGGTATATCTCAAATACTATTCTAGAACTTGATTCATCCATTTTTTTTTTGCTTATCAGTTTGAGGATGAAAAGCCAAAAAGAGCTTTATATTCACCTTAAAATCTTAAAAAAGATTTTCCGAAATCTATATAAAAATTGAGTCTTTCTATCCAATATAATATCCTTAGACAATCCATGATAGTGATAGATGTTGTTAAGAAAAAACTTATCCATTTATTCACATGTGATAGATTTTGTATATGATATAAAATGTGCCATCTTAATTAAATGATCTATTAGTAAAAATATAAAATTATACAAACCTAAGATAGGAAGGTCTATGATGAAATCTATAGAAACAAAAGACCATGGTTGTTCTAGAATACATAATAGCTCAAAAAGTCTATAAGGTTGATGATGATGTCATATTATAATTATTTATAATATGTAAAAATTAAATAAAATATATAATATATTAATAAGTATTGATGTGTATTAGAGTGAATAGTAGGTTAATTTAAAGAGAATTGATATAAAAAAATGTTTTAAGATTTACCTATTTTGATTATAATATTTAAATTATATAAGATTTAGATATTTAGCATAAAATTTAAAGAAAATATTGGAGGTCAAAGATGAAGATTCAAACCTCTAAAAAACTTATTTGGAAAGATGAAAGCAAGGTATAGATGGATGAAGGCAAGAAATAAAGATCTTCATTCCTATTGATCAAAAGTCATATCCAATAGGCTCTCAAGAGGATGTCCACGAGCATAACAAGGATTTTGGCGACTTCATAAGAGAGACTTGATAATCAAAAGTAAAATTTATAAGATTTAAGATTTGGATTATAATTTGTCTACAAATTTTAACAAATTTGGAATTAGGATGATGAAATTATGGCCGCTTGAAGTTAAAGTGTCTTTTTAAGACATATTGTTACTCTTTTGAAGATACAAGAAGTTTTACGATAACTTTTGGAGATCAAGAAGTACATCTGTAAGGATGAATTTAAGACCTATGTCTTTTGCAAAAGAATTTTTGTATTTAGAGTTTTTATAAAAGAATTATAGAGCATTGAAGATAGCTCATGTAATTTGAAGGCAATAAGTGAGTCATTCTGTTGATAGTAATAGTTAGAGCCACATCTTAAGTTTTTGGATGAATTTTTGGCTCAAAATTTTTAAAATTATATTATTAAAATTATATTATATTAAAACTATATATCAAAATTTTATGATATTTGAATATTAGTTTGTGAGATATAAAGAAAATTATACATATGTATATGTAAGTAAGGATTTGAAGGTGTTGTTAGGGTTTTGGCAATATCTCAAGTTCCATAATAAATTTGTAGTTGAAATTTGTTATGGTAGTTGTTGAAATTACATCAATACTTTGTATAAAATTTTGATTTGTTTTGACAGTCTACTTGTGAAATATGAGCTGTTGAAATTTGGAAAAAATCCATTTTAAAGATATATAAGATTTTATAATATTTTTATCATATTTTAGATGATTTATGGTACTTAGGACTTATATATTGATATAATTGCCCTTATAAGGATAATTTTATACATAAACTTGGTGATTTATTTATCTTGAGACTTAATTGAGTAATTAGTGACAATCAAAAGCCTAGTGCTTTTTTAAAGCAACTTCTCTATATTCTGATAATGAGGAGTTTTTTTTATCTTGAATAAATATCACATAATTGTATAAAGTCTTTGACTGCCTTCCACATTCAAGGCCACCAAAAAATATTAGATATTAGCTCAAAAGTCTCATTGTATCCAAAATGTTCAGCTGTTAGAAAGTCATAATAAGCTTTAAGAACATGTAATCATGCTTTACCTTTAAGAATATATAATTGTCTCTCAAAACATAGTAAATTATTCTTAAACTTGAATTTGGAAGTATCATAAGACTTAGAAGAATTATTCTTGATATCATAAATAAAACGATTAGAGAACATACTTCATTGAATTTGCTTGGCAAAGGTTGAATCAACAATCAATATTGATTTTATTGCTCAAAGATGAAAATGCTCCGACTTCAAGAGAATTATTTTTTGTTGATCAAAAGCTACATCTCTTTCTTTTGGTGTAAGATAAGAACATCTAAAAATATCATTTAACAAACCTTGTAGTTTTTGAGGTCAATAAGTGATCTTGAAATCAAATCTTGATAAAGACATGCTCAAATAGGCTTGGCAATGATTCAAAATACGTGCCGACATGAAGTATTTGAGATTCTTCTAATTTATATATACAATGAGTAGAATAATAATAAAAAATATTTGAAGCTTTGCTTTCTTATAAGAAGCAAGTTCTTGCTATGATACAATGATATCATATTATATGTATTCTTGCTTGAGAATGCACCAAATACCTAGCTATGGAAGGTAAGTAAAAATACAACAATAATCCTATAAAATCTAATAAAGTCTTAAATAAAATTTAAATAATCTTTAATGATATTAATCAAATTTAAACCAATCCAAAGTAAATTTAAAAGGAATTAGAAAATTAATAAAAAAATCATAAATTAATCTCAAAGAAAAATAATAAAAAAATCTTTAAAAAATATAAAAATAAACTTCAAAGAAATAATAATAATCTTAAAGAAATATTAAAAATAAAAATATTAATTATATCCTATATAAACCTTAATTCAAATCTAATTTAATCTTAATTAAAATCCTAATGAATCTTAATCAAATTTTAAATCAAATACTAATTAAATCCTAATAAAAATTCTAATTAAAATCTTATTGAAGCTTAATCAAATTCTAGGTCAAATTCTAATAAAATCCTAATAAGATCTTAAATCCTAATAAAATCTTAATCAAATCTTAAATCTTAGATTAATATTAATAAAATCTTAAAAAAAATTTAAATCCTAATCAAATTTTATACCAATCCTAAGCAAAATCTAATTGAATCCTAAATCTTAAACAAATCTTTAACAATCCTATAGAAAATTGAAATTTCAATAACTAACAATTGAACTATTGACTTTGATTCAAAATTTATAGATTTTATAAAAATTAATTTAATAATAAGTACGAAAATTTTGAAGAAGATTGCACATGTCAATCTCTTTTTTTAATCTTTGATGTTAATATTCTAAAGTCATAATCTCTTAATTTCACCATTCAATTCATTCCAAACTTTAAATAATTTTTGAAAGTCCAACAATCTATTATTAAATAAAATTATATATTAATTCAATTGGCAGATTGAAAAATATTTAAGAAATCCTCACTAGTCTTCTAAATCCCAATTTTTTGAGATCATAATCTATAAAAACTCTCATATTTTTCAATCTAACTACTCAATTGACCTCAACTTTTTCACAAACATTTACAACAAGCACAATGATAAATTGCCAAATTTTCGCTTATATATTTTTACTTTAAAAATTTCAAGATTTTGTGAAAATTTACATTTTTTTTTTTTTTTTTTTTTTTTTTTCAAAATTTAAATCCACTAAGCACATCACTCACTTTAAAAATTCCTCAAAACCTCAATATTAATCCTAATGACATAGAACCAACTCTCCAAAAATCCCTTCATCTATTTGCTTTCAAAAATCCACTCTTTGACTTGCAAAAGAACCCCGAAGTTACCATAAATGCTTAATTTTGTGTCTTGGAATCTAATTTCAACCCAAGTTTACAACTAGTCCTTTTTGGATATCAATTTTTAATAATTTGAGGTAATTTTTGCTTAAACTTATTATTAATTCTCTACTAAAGATACTTATATTATTTGCTTATTTTATTTACTTTGATTTAAGGCATTTATGCTTCTACAAAGTAAATAGAAGTTCCTTCTACAAAAAACAACATTAAGACTAAACTTTTCACTACCTTTCTAGCATTTATCTTTGTTTTTCTACCACATCTTTCTACTAAGCTCTTTTATAATAACATCCATTTATATATATATATATATATATATAAATATTTTCACCATATAGTTGTATTACCACATGATATTACCACACAATAATGCTAGGTTAAGATTTGAGCATTGTGCATGCTGGAAAGGAGCACTGCAGTTGGTCCAAATTGTGTAGCCGTTGTGACTGTAGGAAAGGTGCTATTGCATTGTGTACAGAAAGTCACCCAACACTGTTTTTTGTCTTTTTGTGTGTTTTTTTCTTGATATTGCTTGAGTAGTCGTTGGCAGGGCTGCTGTCAACTTCTTGTATGATTATAGGAATGCAGTAACAGTAACAACGTGCGGCCTAGAACTCTAGAAAATCGGGAAGGTGGGCATTGGTTTTTTTCTGTTTAGATTGCTGCTAATTGTACAAGGTAGCGGTAGTGGTGCAATTGTTCCCCCTCCTGGTTGGCGCCTCTCCGACGGTGGACCTTGGCAGTGATTGCTGGAGCTCCTATCGTAGACGTCTTTCTACGTGCGGTGGACAATGAAGACGGCTGGTGTTTTTTATTTCTTGATCGTTGGTGGACATCAAGCTATCGTCGATGGCTTGTTTTGTGCAGATCTAGAAGGTTGCTGTTGTCGACGGTCTGCTAGAGCACGGCGGTGCGAAGCGTCTAGACGGTCTTGGTAGAAGGTCTCTTCCTCTCCTTTGTTGATTGCCGTCCAGCGCTGCTGACCGTTTTTATTGCTGCTCTTTGTTTTTTTTTTGTTTTTTGTAGCGAACAGCGGAAGTGGTTCTCGGCTGGAGGGTGTTCAGCATCGCTTGTTTTGAGGAGACGCCAATTTTCTTGTTGGCTGCACTGTTTTTAGTGTCCTGGGCGTGGAAGTTCGGTTCTCTACATGCGGTTCTTCTTGCGGCTGCTTGTGGTTCGGTGACGGTTGGTTTTCAACGATTCCAGGGTGCTTGGCGTAAGGGTTCTGCTGATACTGGTGTTGCGGCTCTACTTCGATTGCGTGCAGCAGTCAAGGAACTATTCCCTAATCCTCGACGGTTCAGGTGTGTTCGGGTGGAGTGCGCCGTTTTGCTGTAGTGCCATCGCTAGTTGTGGGGTGCTATTCTTATCAAGTGGCTCAAGTGGAGTCGACCAACGGCTGCTGGACTTTGTGGTACTGATTGGAGTAGAATCTCAGTCGGCGGTTATTCTCTTCCGAGACTGTGATGGGTTTTTGTTTCTCCATGTGGTGTTGCGGTTGACATCAACGAGGCATTGTATCATGTAGTCGACGTTCGCCCAAGCTGTCGTCGAAGGTGCACTGTTGACCTTGCAAACACGGAGCGGCGGAAGAGCTAGTGCACTCAAAAGTGGAAGCGTCGATAATTAGTTATTCATATCACATTGGTGGCAAGTACGAGCGTGTGTTTTAATTTTTTTAATTTTGTTCCTTGCGGTCTTGCTGTGAGGCGGTTCATGTGTCAGATGGTCCATCGTTAGCCTCAAGGTCTGGACGATCTAGACGCTCTGAGGTTGTGCGGCATTGTGGGTGCTTTGGATTGCTAAGGACCTACTGCTGTGGCCTACAGCTGGAGGCATCGACCTCATTCGACTACTGTGAATTGTGGCTGGAGTAGCTCCAGACTGATCTAGGGAGGGTTCCACTCTCGACATTCATAATTATTATCATACTTTCATTGCGCTGGCGGTAAACCCAAGAGCTGGGCGACATATCAACGAACTAACGTGGTATACTTCAGTAGTATCACAGTGGGTCGATTATGTTCCGTTAGAGGCGCATCACCCTGCAACATTATACTATAGGGCTGGCGTGCTGTTGATCCAAGTTAAACAATTAGGAGGATAGAATTTCCAGCCAAGGAGTGTAATCCTTGTTAGTGTTGGTGCTACATGCTCGGTAGAGGGCAACTGCAAGCTTGCTGAGTTTTGTAACTAGGAAGTGTTGATACAGTGCTTGGATCATCGACATTACACCCTACATACAAGTTTTCGGGAGTGAATCGGCGTATTACACTACAGGAGGTTGGCTTCGTAACTCGGCTGCTGCTGCTCGACCGTGGTTTTCTTGTGTTCAGAATTTCTTTCAACATCTTCCATACAGTGGTGAGAATTCCCAATTTGGAAGACTTTTGCGGGGATGAAGGTAGATTGGAGGAACAGTTATAGTTGGATGAAGCTAGGTTAGAACTCAAATGAATTTAGGATTTGGAATGAATTATGTTAAGTTGGATGAATATTTAGGATTTAGATGAATAATATTTTTGGATGAAATCTCATTCTTGGATGAAAAATCATTCATGGATAAAAATCTATTTGTAAATGATAAATTGTTCATGGATGAAGTATGTTAAATAAATAAAATAAAATAAAATAAAAATATTATTTATGCATGAATTTTTAAAATGATTTATATTACGAATATAATTTGTAGTGATGTTTTTTATGGAATAAATAGGTTAATTTGGAATTAGAGAGTAATTCAATTAATATTTAATTATTAGATATAATTTATAAATTACATAAATAATTTAATCATTGTAAATTACAATAACCTTTTAATAAGTGGGATTATTTTATCTCACAAAAAGCTATTTTTTGTTGACTTATCAAATGAGATGTTGTGGTTGTTACAACTCTTAAGACAATGTAGTAGACATGAATACTTTTGAAAATGACATGTTCTTCCTTGAATAGATGGTGAATACAATGTATTTGATATCACAACCTTAGAAGAGACTCTCAATGTTTGGTGATATTATTGGAGGTAGGAACCACTCCTAACAGTGTTTTAAATGTTTTATTTGAAGGGAATTATAAAGACTTCAATAATAATCAAATATCAAGGTGGTCTTCTACTCTAGTATAGGACACTATCGATGGCTAAGACGACTTATGTCAACATATGATTGCCGCACCTCATGGAACTCATCTTTAAAAAAAAAATAATATCATGGACATACATGATTATTTAAATAAGAAGTTTTTTGTAAAAATTGAATATAAATAGACTTATTATTACCTTATGGCAGAGTTTTTTAGAAGCTTCATAGATATATAGTTGACTTTATACATATTTATAATTAATTCGTAAGTTAGAAACTTGGCCAATAAATTAACCATGTGTTGCATATATTAATAGCTTGTGATACAAGCTAATCATATGATATAAATATAAAAAAAATGATTTTATAAATTTAAAAAGTATCTTGCAAATTAGACATGTATCAAAGGTCCAATAGAATGCTGCTATATAGATCTTAATTAGATAGAATATATGGAGGCAATAATAAAGTCTTTTTCATTCTTGACAATTCTATTTTTATTCTTTGAAATAACTATTTTAATTTAATATTATACCATCTTTGAATGATTATCTAGTCTTTTTAAGTGATACAAGAGTGTATTGAACTTTTTGGTTCTTTGAGATTCATGTCCTTAACAATACTATGGCTTTTCTTGATCATGTGTTGGTATACTTTGGAGCACTTATTAAAGTATTAATAAATCAAAAGAAGGAATTCCTTCAAACTTTTGAAGCCTTAGAGACTAATATTTTGATAGATCATTACACCACCTCCAAAAATCATCTTCAGGTAGATAGCTTTGTTGAACACATTATTCAAATTGTTAAAAGTGATTTATAAAAGTATAGATTGCTTCATAGCAACCACTATAATTGAGACTTAATATTATTATAGATTGCAATGGATTATTGCTTTAGTATGCATATATCTTTGGCATCTTATGGTTATCACTAGTTGATGTATAGAAGGGATTCAATTCTACCAAACTTTGTATATAAAAAGCTAACTCTAATTATTAACTTGAATAACTTTAATATTTAGATTCAATATCTACATGATCAAGTAGAGTTCTTTAAGAAGGCCATATCTATAGCCATGAAAAATTTGTCCATCACTTAATATTGTGATATTTTATAATCTATTTTTAGTAGATCTTATTGATCTCAAATGTAGAGATTCTACAAGAGAGATTATGTATATTTTCAATGTGAAGTGTTAATAATACTTAATATCAAAGCAAGGTGCACAATTCTTTGTCTCAATGATGCCTTGCCTAATAATATTTTATTGCTTTAAAGCAAAGATGGACATAATTGTTGAATTTAGTCAAAGAATTGTATTCCTTGTCATCTTCTTATTAATGCTTCTATATATCATAAAATGATATTTGTGTTAGACAACCTTCTTTGTTTTGTATATGGTGAGAAGATAGGAATTGCTACTATATTATTATATAACTAGTACTAACATAGATGGCATATAGCATGCTTAATACCACCTCTTTCAACTCTTTTTTTAGAATATTGGATTTGTCCTTATTGTAGGATGTCTTCTATCTATATCTCATTTGTTAACAAGAGTTGATAACTCCTAGTTTTGCCAAGTATTTTGGTAGTCTAGTTGCTACAACATCAACTTAGATGTATATTATTTTTGCAATGTCATCACTATGACATTCATTTTTCATTGCACATTTGTTGTCATCCTAGCTAATTAACAAGGCTCCTAATCAATTAAAAGGAATATTTAAAAGTGTGTTTGATATACTTTCTTAATTGATTTTTGTTTGCATACTCAATGATGGTTTTTGGCACTCAAGTTATTGTATATAACAATCTTTATTTATACAACTTCAATTATGGGAGTATTTTCTAAATGTCTCTTTGTTTGTCCTATAGATTATAACAACTTCTTAAAAGTAATAATTTTTTTTTTTTTTTTTTTTTTTTTTTTTTTTTTACAAGGATTCAATATAAAAATTCTTTTTAAAAAATCATCTTATTAAAATTTAATTTTAAAGATTATTTATTTCACATTTTTAATTAACTATTTTCCTAAAAATAATGATTAATTTTCTTAAAAAATAACTTTATTTTATTTTATTTTTTGATTATTTGTCAAACTCAAAATTTTTAATGATATAAAATATAGAATATTTAATAATGTAATACTTGTAATATGTAAATATTTAACATATTTTTTGTAGATAAAAATAAATCTTAAATCAAAATCAAATAATATTATTACAAGATTTAAAAATGACTTCTATTTAGCCATTATAAAAGCTACTTAATTACATAGAATTAAAGATATTATTTAATAATTAAAAAGACTATAAATAACTTGTACTGTTTTTTATAATTTAAAAAAAATTAGTGAATAAATTTTATAAAAAATAAGACTTTTTATATATTTTTATCTTTTATTTTAATGCCTTTCATATCCATGATGTTAAAATATCTATTTTTAGAATTTCATTTAATATCACCTATTTGTGTGATGTGGATGTTTGCAATGTAATACTAAAGATCTAATAATAATAACAAGAGAGAAAAGGCATGCCTTATGTTGATAGCATTAAATGTAGCCGACACTCTCCATAATATTTATTGTAGTCTACAGTAAATACTACAGCTACAATATTTGGAATGTACTGGAGAAAAATTGTTTATCCTCTCTCCTTCTCCTCTTGTATACAAGACACAACTAGATCAATAGATTTTTATGTGTGAAGCTCTCTCTCCTTAGAAATCCTCTTGTGTGTATTACTTACTATTATTCTTGTGTGTGTATGTATTACTTACTACTACTCTTATGTCTTTCTAAATATTCTCAACACGTTATTAGTACGACTCTCTTCTTTACACTATCACAATTTTTTTTGCTCTAGTCTTGACTCTTCAAACCTATTGCTACTCTTGCTCCCTATCTGACTCATAATCTTACTGCACTTCTTGCTGGCCCCTCACACATTAGCTGCTTACTTAGAGCACTTACTCCACTCTTTGCCTTGCTTACTTAGAATACTTGCTCCAGCCTAGCTTCTCTACTATGCCATGCGTCTGTTGCCAAACAGTCGCCAAATTGCTACAAAATTGACCACCAATTATTGCCAAATAGTCATCATTATTGACCGCTGACTACCACCAAACAATTACTGTCACTCACCATCGACTGTTGCCAAACAATCACCAATCCCGTCACTGCTGCTGTTACTTCTGCAGCTGCTTGTCGCCCTGTCATCGCTACCACCCTATCGTCGTACCGCTACCACTGCTTTTTGTCGCCCTGTCATCGCTACCACCCTACCGTCGTACCGCTACCACTGCTTTTTGTCGCCCTATCATCGCTACCACCCTACCGTCCTACCACTACCATTGCTTTTTGTCGCCCTGTCATTGCTACCATACTGCCGCCCTACCGTTGTCACTCTACAACTGTCGCTACTTGCCGCCAACATCCTATTGCTGCTTTGCTACCACAATCCACAACCTTGTTAAAAAATAAAATAAAATAAAATAAAATAATTAATTAATTAATTAATATTTTTGATTTTTAAGTTCAAGTTTACCATTTTATTTGACTTTATATTTTAAGGTATATTTTATTCAACTTTTCTACTTGATCTTGAATTTTTTTCACAGATATATTTATAATGAGTGCTTCAACATCTCCAACTATTTCTACTATGGTTTTAACTGTTACCAGTGCATCCCAACATTTTAAAGCTCTTTTATTTCCACCATTGACTATGGATCGAAACAATTATCTATTATGGTCAAACAAGACAAAAGCAAATTTATTTGTAGAACAACTCTCACATGTCATTATGTTTGAAGAATCTCCTACAATAAGTATTTCTATTTCTCATGCTATTGATTGGAAAGCACTTCTTCTCCTTGGTTGTCATCTTGTATATGCATTACAACATCAATATTTGAAAATGGAAGATCCTGCAGAACTTTGGAAGAATCTTAAATCTAGGTTTGATCATCAAAAGACCATTTTCCTTCCACAAGCATGTCATAATTGGACACATTTACGTTTCATAGATTTTCTAAATTTAAATGCTTTTAATAATAAAATATATAGTATTATCTCACAATTACGATTATGTTGACAAAGTATCTCTGAAGAAGAAATGATTGAAAAAACTCTCTCTACATTTCTTCCTGTATTTGTTGTACTTGCACAACAATACAGGAATATGAAATTTCAGAGTCATTCTGATCTCATGTCTTATCTACTTCTTGCGGAGAAGCAAAATGAGCTACTCTTGCGCAATGCGGAAGCTTGTCCTATCGAAACCATAGTTCCAGAATTTCATGTACTTAATATTTCAAATTCTAAGAAAAAATTATATAAATATGGAAAAAGTGCTCATAAGTTTTAAGGGAGTCATAATCATGACCATTTCTATCCATCTAAAAAGAATAAAAGTTCTACTATTAATTATAGTAGAAAATAAAAATCAGAGATGAATTCTTGCCATAAGTGTGGAATGATTAGACATTTAATATATATGTGTTGTACTTCAC